TGGGGTTGTTAACCAATGTCATAAAACAACATGTGTACTACTGTTTCATGAGAAACTATTTGTTCTGTAAGCCTTCACCTGAAGTACAATAAAATAAAAAGTAACCAACCCAGAGAATTGCATGAGGACTATCTTAGTTAATACATATAAAGCACACAGAACAGTACTGACACAATTAAGGGCCAATAAACGTTAGCTATAATTTACTCATTTAACCCATGAACAACCTATGAGGATTATCAATGTTAGTTATTACAGATAATATGCAAAACCTGATGATCCCAAACGATATTATTACTCATCAAAGAACCGAAGTTTAGAGGTAATTCCTGGTGGAGCGAGCACTGCTGACCACCACGTCCACTCAGTGCATTTATCACGGAGGTCACCATGAGAGTGCCACTGTGCACAAGGACGGCCTCTCGGGAGACTTAGTCCTGCTTAAGCTGTCAAAGTTGGGCTTAGAGGAGAGGTGCTTTTCTTCCCTCAGTCAAGAAATGGCATCATATGCCACTACCTAGCCTTTCTTTCCTCAGCTAAGTTTCCTGCTTTGCTTCAGAATCAGGAGTCAGGAAGCACACGGGGAAGACTGATGATTACAAGGCTGCCAAAGATGCTAGCTCCTTTCCTGTATCTCCTGCCTTGGTCAAAACCCAGCATTTCAGTGTTCAAATCCTAAGGGTGATAAGAATAAGCATCTTGGCTCATTGAATCAGTTTTAGGAGACTGGTCCCATGTGTCATGGTCAAGTTTAGGTTAGCACTGCTTTCACCAAAAGAGCTGGGTTTAAAAATACTTGCTGATTACCATATACACTTACCATTCTAGAAGCGTCTGTAAGGGGAAGTGGGAAGGAATTTTTTTTGAGGCATTCTGCAATTTCTTATGGGGGTGAAAATGGTACCCAAAAGCAGCTGGTAATTATTTGGCTGTGCTGTCTAAGAAAATCCGGGCCCTGCGTTGCCCAGCTAGCTGCTCAGCCACGTCAAATCAGTAAGTTCTTCCTTGACTAGCTTAGGACTATTCCATGATGGGCATTAAAGTCTACTCCCACCCCCAAGCACCCCTGACAGCCAGCAGAAGCACTGGAACTGTATCCTACTAACCTGGGTGACAGGCACAGTGCAGGAGTGTGAGCTATCGAAACAACCTGGTGAAGTCTCTCAAGGCCCAGCAAACTTGTTTACATTCCTCAGCGCTAGAAAAGAAAGATGCAGCATGCTGAACAACCACAGTGACACTGAGATGCACAGGACCGTCCCGAGTCTGCTGGCAGCTCTCTCTATCACCTCCTGACCTGCTCTAGATCTCTCTGTAACTCCAGGGTAAAATTAACCATTGTCTGCGAGAAAAATTATAAGCTTGGAGGTCCTTAAAGAGAGGGCTGTGAAGATAAACGTCTTGAGTTGGAATCTGGGTTCCACTGTATCCTTAGGCAAGTAATCACTTCTGTCTCAGTTTCCTCGTCTATTATCTACCTTATAATGTGGTTCTGAGTACTGAATCAGTTCATACATGTCAAGCACTTAGCATAGAGCAGTGAATAAAATGGTAATTAATAATGTAGCCATAACAACAACAGTATTTGAAGTCACTGATACAAATGCAAGAAAGGCCGAACCCCTGAGAGTAAAAAAGTAAGCTGTTCACCTAAGGCTTAGACCATTTTAACTCTAGGAGCTGAGCTAACTGGGGTAACTGGTTTTCTCATTCTCCTCCAAAGGCAGATTTTGTTTACTAAGCCCTATCCAGCAACTAAGTGTCGATCAGTCATCAATATTGTAGTTGAACAGGCTGCTCAGGGTTTCCTCCTGTGGGAGGAGGAGGTAGAGGAAGTGGAAAGGGTTAAGGCATGGAGACAGGGAGGAGGAGGAAGCAGGACCTGGCCTTCAGCAAACACTGAGACGTGCGGACGGTACGGGCCCTCAAAAAGCCTCAGTGCTCATCAGACCCTATGTTTTCAACAGGTCCCTTTGTCCAAAACTGTCACTAAGAAACTCACTGACGCTGGTTTCCTTCTTTTGTCTAACAGTTTTTGGTAACTAAACACGAGGCTAAGCTTTGGACATGTTATCAGGAGGGATCAGTCCCTGGAGAAGGACATCATGCTTGGTAAAGTAGAGGGTCAGCAAAAAAGAGGAAGACCCTCAACAAGATGGACTGACACAGCGGCTGCAATGGGCTCAAGCATAACCGGGATTGTGAGGATGGTGCAGGACTGGCAGTGTTTTGTTCTGTCGTACACAGGGTCGTAATGAGTCCGAACCGACTCGACCACACCTAACAACAACAACAATAAACTAGAGACACTGGAAAAGGAAACACTGCCTGATATGCTCATCCTTCCATGGTCCTCTCTCTGCATTAGAAAAGCTCAGGGACCAGTGCTTACTACCAGGACTCAATGTTCGAAGAAAGCTCTCTTTCCATTTTGGAATGATTAACCATCAGGGAGGAACTGCTAAGGGTGATCCAGCAGGAAAGAGGGTGAACTGAGAGCTATATCACCTTAAGTGCCTACACCCAAACTTCCCATCATTAGAAGGTCTGTAACACCGTTAAGAACCTTGGTATACACCCCAGGGCTTGATTCAAAAGAATATTCTAAAAATTTTCTGCTAGTCTCTCTCCATCCTAAAAATATAATGAAAATTAGTAAGTTGTTCTGATTCTATTGAAATTCTGTCACTCTTTTATGGATTTAAAAGGCACCAATAAATGTATCACATTTCTCAGTCTATTTCCAATCTGTACTGACTGCTAAGGAGGTAGGCAGGGTGAGGGAGCACATACTCATTCATGCTCCCAGTGTCAGGAAGGAGGAAGGTATGTAACACAAGAGAAGTCACTGTGTGGTGATGTTACCACACGGGACTGACAGGAAATCCTGGAACTTAGGTTCGTGCTTTACACCATCCTAACATCTTCCTTCACCATCCTAACATCTCTTACGTGTTTTACATTGTCCCCTTCTTCATCCAGAAATCTTGGTTTACTCTGGAAAAGAAATGATAGCTCCATCCTTAGCCTCTTTGGTGACACATGACAAAAAATACTGAAATCGAAATGCAAGGACAGGAGGGCTGCAGTGAGACGGGGGAAATGAAGGCCAGGCTGCAGTGTCTCAAGTCAGCTCAGCTTCTGCTCCAACCCCACCAGCAACTGCCTTGGTGTCAAGAGCTCCAACCAAATGTCCAACGCAAGTGTCTTTGGTGATTTGAGCCCAACGAAATGGATAAAAAAAGTTCCTTAAAAGCTGTAACTATTTTCTGTTTTTAGCCTCAGTCCTTTCCTCAAGCCCTGCAATTCTAGGGGTGTGCTAAGAAATGCAGCCCTTTTTTTCTGACATTCAGGTAGATAAAGGAGAATAATCAAGCCTAGCTGGTGACTTGAGCAGGAAAACACCTCCATGCTGGCCTTTAATTCCAGTGTCAGTGCTTCCTGGTTCAACATCATTCAACCTTGAAGATTCTCGTGCGAGTGGTAAGGGTCACAGAATACCAGGACAGAGAATGCGAAACGGTGGTAGGATTCCTTCTAGTAACTATTAGTTTGGGTCTATGGTGGGCTCATTTGGAGTTTGGAAAGCAAAAATGTTATTTTAGAATGAAACATCCCACCTTTCTTCAAGATGACCAACTAAAAAAGTTAGGGAATTAATTACTAAGCACCATTTGGAAAACAGGCTTGGGCTTGCTGAAATGAAACTGAACCAGTTCACCCTTCCTGCTAGGATGGCAAACAAAGCAGCATGTTGAGGCAGGAGTTGAAGGACAAAAAGGGAGACTGAGTCATGCATGGAACTGAAGGTTCAAGGGCAGCAGGCATACTAGAGAAAGAGAACTACTAAGAGCAGGCGAGCAGTCTCAAATCCTTTCTTGTGCACCTCAACCTTACCTCTTACTTCTGTTCATTTCCCACCATGATGTCACAGCTTAATATAGGAGGAGCTGCAAAACTTGTTTAGCAATGAATGATCAAGTAGGCCAGGCTGGCAGTGTATCTTATTTATCACAGGTATTTTTGTTTCCACTACTGCATTGTTTAGGTCATCCCTTCTCCTTCCCCCAAGATTTTCCTTAAATTACAGAATGACGTCCATGATCTTGGTTTCAAACTCACCCTTTTGTTTCCATCTGTCATATATTAGCCCTGTCAAGGGTTATGGGCTTGGTGGAGACTTATTCCAGAATGTGTGGGTGGCTGCCTTAGTGTTGGCAGGAGACATGCCCCAGCTAGTTTTGCAAGAACGTAACGACACTCTGGCAGTTTCCTTTCTAAGGGGAAAGGAGTTAACATTCACTGATCACCTACTGTCTGCCAAACCTTCCGACATATTTCCATTTGGTATCTCATAATAACCCTATTTTACAGATTAAGAAGAAATTGAAGTCACAGTGACAGAGTCAGTAAGTGGTAAGATTCAAACCAACATTCTTGGCCCTAAGCCTGGTCTCTCTACATCTTACATACGGCCTCTGACTGAAACGTTAAGACAATGCTTGTTTGAGGGTTTTCTGCAGGCTTCCATTTGCACTGAAGAAATTAGAACCAATATGATCCTGTCCTTCTGACCAACAACAGATGGGAATAAAACAGCAGCAGAAAGGCCACTATTACACCTCTTTCCCGAGGCACACTGTGGGTAGAATACTACTTCTCCAGAAAGATTCATAGTTAAAAAGAAATCAAATCATTTTGTAAAGCCATCCCAGTCAATGTACACCTATCTAATGGAGGGGCTGGTGGGTTCTAACGGCCAACCTTTTGGTTAGCAGTTGAGCACTTAACCACTGAGTCATCAAGGCTCCTTAACCTCTTTTTAGGTAAATATAATTTCAGTTCCTCTAATTGTGCCTACTACTTGATCATGATGGCATTAGGTAGGTAGGATAAAGATGTGGCAGTCGGCTTCCAAAAAGATTACAGCTTTGGAAACCCTATGGGGCAGTTCTACTCTGTCCTACAAGGTCATTATGAGTCAGAATCTACTTGACGGCCAACGGGTTTTGGTTTAATGGAGGCGAAATCCCCACTTATGCCAAAATATGTCACAAAGGCAGTCACGTGCTACCTTCCAGTCATGCTTGTCACTTGATCTGTGGCTAAAAATCAGTAACTTCTGGGGCATGACAGTAAGCCATTTAGTAAGCTACAAAATAATAGTACTCAATAGTTCGGGATTTTAACATTAAAAAACTGTTGGGATACTTTGGGAGATAAGAAAACAGACTATTTTGCAAAGTAACACAAAGAAATCAATTCTCAAAAATGAAGATTAACTACTGTACCACTGCCTAAAGTTTATTTTCTCTTTTAACAACTAGTTTTTTAAAAAAAAAATTATAAAATTAACACCTGCTCTTAAAAAAAAAAATGCAAATAGTACAGAAGGTTATGAAATGAAAAATAAAAGTCTCCATCTCTTCCCATTCTGGTCTCACTCGTGTTTCTCTCTCCAGAAATTTACTAAGCATTAAGTAGCCTGTATACATGGAACATATATAATAAAACAGCTTTTAAACGTGCAAAACAGCTTTTAAATGTTATATGAGAGATACTGTTACTTCCTCCTTTACATTATAGCTTGCATATCTTTCTGTATCACCATATGTATTTTTCCTGATGCTTTTTAGTGACTGTAGGTATAGATTAGCACTATTAATTTAACTATACTCTATTGATGGGCAATTAGAATATTTTCTGTTTTCTTACTATTACCAACCCCACCGCAACACTCACTCTTGGACCTTTCTACCCCTGCATGAATATAAGCCATTGCCTAAAATTAAGTCAAAATTCTAAAGAGTCTAGATATAAAAGGGACTATCAGGGCAAGGTAACACACAATTAACCAAATTTAAGATGCTGTCATCAATACTATCAAAGACTATAAAAGGTTCATAACCTTTGATTCAATGATTACATTTTATGAAAAATACTCAAAATAAGGAAGTATCTAGACTTTTAGAGGCAGTATAAGGAAATCAAGTAACATCTTTATAAGACCCACCCTTTTGTTTCACCTGTCATGCATGTATTAGCCCCGTCATAGGAAGACTGTGGAGCTATATTAAAAATGTTTATATGGTCACAGTAAAAACCGCTCATGCATTCCTAACATTTCAGCTAAGCTGTTATCTAGATTGTGAACTGGTACTCCAGGGTTTAATGCACCCCAGAGAGATTCTCTGGCTGCACCACTTTTTTGAAATTGGAACTGGAACATCTTTAGACACGACACACATTCTCCAGTGTGCTGTCGTCTACATAACCCTCTAATATTTTACCAGCAATGCTTTCTGTATTTAGGCATCTGCATTCTTGACCTCTGAACATGGATGAGAACTGAGACAGGACTTCAGAAAGAGAAAGACAGAGCACCTGAGTGGACTGCTCAGTGCATTTTTCTTTTGGGAGAAAAAAGTGCTGCCACCTACCCTTCAGGATCTTACGCTAGTTAACATATATGTCTAATATAACTGATGTACATATATATGGCATTATGTTTTCCCCCCAAATTGGCTTCCAGTGCCAATTTGTGCAATTTAAGGCTAAACAGACACTAAATTGTGAATTTACAAAGGCACACAAGAAACATACTTGTGGGTAGATCTGTAACTGAGATGGTATAAGAAACAAAGATATGTTTCTTCTATACACCCCAGCTGCTGTTCACAGTGGTGTTAGGAACACCCAGCACCCCTCACCTCGTGACTTGCTTATGGAAGTCTGTAAGCTGTCTGTGTGTCACTGTGACGGCTCCCACTGTTGTCTCCTTTGGTAAACCTTTCAAGGAATTCTCTAACCATCGGCAAAAAGTCTGTAAAGGGAAGAGGGATAATAATTTTAAAAGAAGGCGGTGCTTAACTCAATGAGACTCTGCAAACACTAAGAAAACTAAGCGGGTTTTCCTCAGCAGCATTTGTTCCCCTAGACTCGGGGGCCAAATGAAGGTACTGACAGAGGGCCTATCTTCAGGTCTCAAATCCCCTGGGTTGAGGTGGTCCACAGGTGCAAGCCTAGACTTCCTTTCAAAGGGGCAGCAGGCACTGTTTATAACGTTGAAGTGCAGTCTCTTCTGGATGAAGCTATTGTTCTGTCCCTGTCCTTGAATTTACATAATTAAAAAAATTAAATAGATGCCAGAAAATTCTTGCATTTAAAGGTCAAGCGCAATCCAAAGCAAAAGTTCATGTACCAAAAAAAGAGTAGGAACAAAACGTGTACTAAGTAAACAGATGTCAGAATGTATACGCATAACATATCCCAGAACCTTAAGGATTTTAAGGTCATCTACCTCAGAAGAAGTCCTATCCACTCAGTTCCTTTGTAATACTTCCCTGCTCTTCGGGTTAGAAGGTTCTCTAACAGAGAGCTCATTCTTGTTGCTATTTGAAATAATTTATTTAATCCTGTTTCAAATGGAAAGGGGAAACTCTAAGCATAGTCTCTTTTTATCTTTCTTACACACAAAGCCTAATTTGCCCCCTTCCCCTTTACTTCCTCTTCAAACTAAAAAACAAAATTTTAGAGACTTCCTTTGAGTTTTTATTTTTCAGTTGAATTGTTCTCCTTTGGGTCAGGTCTAATTTTTCCTCATTCCTTTCTTAAGTGGAATGTATACTTTGGTCATAGTTTTCTGGCTGTAAAATTACCTTTTTATGCCTAAATTTTTTACATTATATATTTTCCCATCATTTTCATTTATGATCATAACAAAGCAGAGCAAAAGTCAATACTATCGTATAAAACCAGTGCTTAGGAAGTACTGCATGAGTCTCCAAACGTGGCCCTTAGGGAAGACAACACTCCACTCAGAAAAGACGAGCAGGGGCAAAATATTCAGGAAAGAACCCGTAATTGACAAAATTTCAATATTCAAAAATGGCTCATAAGTTAGCTATAACACCCTCCAAAACAAAAACAACAAAAGACAAAATTAAAAAACAAAAACAAATTAGCTAGCATATAATGGTACTTATAATCTTCCAGTAAGGGAATCTGAGAAATCTGGTTGAAAACACTAAATAAATTTGTCAAACAGATGGGGGCCCAACACAAAAGTGGGGAGGGGAGGGGAAAGGGTTTTAACGGTTTATTCAAGTCAGGAGAGAAAGCTGGTATGTTACCTTCTGGTGGAGAATGTGTATGAACTTTGAAAATGCAGTAATTAAGAAAGTGGCCAAGAATGTTTATTTGTTGGACTTGTGTCCTTAGCTACAATCTCAATCAATTTACAGGGTACAGACAACCCAAATTCATGTAAGAGTTCCTTTACAAAAACTCAGATGTAAGCTGATGTTTATAGAAGACAATCACTTTAAATTACTTGATAATTAAGTGGGTATCTACACAGTAAACTCTTAAGAGCACACAGCTACCTGGTTTCTGTTCCTGCCCAGACTTGCTGTTCCCATTTTATATGTTTACAAATCAAGAATGTTGTTGTAAAGTTAGATTTACATAATGAATCTTTTGTTACCTGGGGACTAAGCATAGCTGAAAAAAATTAGAGTGGAGTGTGGTGATCTTATTTTCTCAACCAAGGACTTTTGGAATTAATCTTGTTGGTCCCCAGGGATTCACAAAAGAGTACTTTCTTACTTTAAGAAAAACACAAAAATATTACTGGATTAGACTGAAATGGAACATATGGATTAAATAACCAGCAATGGAAACTGCAGGTACTATCCATTCCTGAAGCACCTGAGCTCATATGGAAGAACTGCTGAGCTATTTGATGAAACCAAAGTTGCAAGGGAACCTCAGAGAATTTTGTGTGTAAGAATTAAACAGCATCCATCTGGCTGTCTCTCAAGTATAAACCTAAAGAAATTGTTAAAAATATCAAGCATCTGTCCTACATGTGATTCTAATTTTTGAGGAATTGACTGAGGTAAAGTATGCCCACTAAGACAATACACACTAGCCCTTGAAGTTTGGAAATAAATACACAAATCCAAGAATTAGCCAGAACTTCTGGTTCAGTAATATTGGAGTCTAACTATCAGTAAAAGTGTACCCTCTCTTTTGTGAAACTACTGAAATTAAAGCTAAAAACTGCCACCAATGATATATGGTAGGAGACAACATGAAGGTGTACGCGGACTATACTTACAAGACACCTACGTATCTGGACTTAATATAGTCCATGGCTTTGGCAGAAAGTTCACTTGAACTAGATCCAACTATGCAATTTTCTGTACTACTTTTACATTAATATTAAAAATTATAAATTCTATTTTTAAAATAGTTTACAGGCAGTATTATATTTTGTGCTATGCTCAAAACTTTCACTCAGTACCCATAATCTGACTTATGACCACATGGGCCAGTACTGAAATTACCTGGGTATTACTGGATAGCCTAAAAAAATTTTCCATCCTCAGGTGATAAAAGACCTGATTTAAGAACCAGGCTGCAAGTAAATCCAAAGGTAAAATAGGCCCAAGTGTCTGGTGTGGGTCAGTTTTACACCCCAAATGCTCCAGCTCCTTATATAGTATATAAGGAGTTGGAAGTGAATTAATACCTCCTGAGTAACCTGTAACTCTGTGTAACTGCCATATGGGTAGCTATCGTAAGTGAATACATGTCTCACGGCCAGCCAAATGGATGAATTCAATGCTTAGTGCTCACTTCTGGTGATACAGAAACCCTCTGACAGTGACACAAACATGCTTCAGGAACACAACAATGAATTACTGGTCTTCTGTGGGCCCCTTCAGCTACCAACTAAATGGAGCAATATGCCTAACTTAGGTCCCATGGACATACACCAGGGCTGGTTTCAAAGTTAGGGCTCAAGTCTGTGAGGTTGAGGGGCTGTGAGGACAGGTTCCTTGTGAAAACAATCTTACCGGTCTGTCAACCTGCATGATCTCCCAGAGCACCTCAGCCACGTCAGGGAGGGTATAGGGGGGGAGACAAAAGCAGCATGTGTGGAGCAGCTGGCTGACAAGCTGCTGTCCAAGCTGGTTCATCACCTGTCCAATCAGTTCTTTTCGTAACTCAAAGTCTTCTTCATGCTATAAGAAAGCAGGAGCAACAGATAAGTTCTCGTCTCAACTTTCCAAAGACCAAATACTCTTTCTCTTTTAGTAATTTCTCTCTCCTGGGGAAGGACGTACGTATGTTATACAGCAGCCGGATTCACAAAGTCCATTAAATATTATGTCATTAGGAAGAAAATGTTTTGAGTTTACCATCAAGGAAATGGGCATGGGTTTCACCTGAGATTAACCTTAACCCTTAGAGTTTTCATGAATATTTCACTGTATTTATATACCACATTATGTTTATCCATTCACTGTCTTTGATGTACGTTTGGGCTGTTTCTACCTTTTGGCTATCATGAATAATGCTGCTATAAACATCTCTGTGCAAATTTTTGCATGAATATGTTTTCATTTCTCTTGGGTAGATACCTAAGAGTGGAATTACTAGGGCATATGGAAACTCTAAGGAGCATCGGTGGTATAATCGTTCAGCGCTCAGCTGCTAACCAAAACGTCAGCAGTTTGAACTCACCAGCAGCTCTGCGGGAGAAAAGACCTGGCGATCTGCTCCTCGATGGCACACAACACGGTAACTCTATGGTTAATCATCTGAGAAACTGCCAGACTGTTACCCAAAGTGGCTGCACCATTTTACATTCCCACCATCAGTGTATGAAGGTTCCAGTCTATCCATATTCTCACCAACATGTTACTGTCTCTTTTTTTTAATAATTTATTTTATTTTTGTTATTGTTGAGAATATACACGGTAAAACATATCTCATTTCTTTTTTTTAATATATATATATTTGTATTGTACTGTAGAAGAAGGTTTACAGAACAAATAATTTCTCATTAAACAGTCAGTACACATTGTTTTAGGACACTGGTTAACAACCCCACGACATGTCAACACTCTCCCTTCTCAACCTTGGAGGACACTTTTTTTGGTGAAAATAAACATAGCCAAAGTTACACCATTTCAAAAGTTCCTACGTGTACAATTCAGTGACATCGATTACATTCTTCCGGTTGTGCTGCTATTCTCACTATCCTTTTCCAAATTATTCCATCACCTCATTTCCTTTTTTTAAAACTAAGAGTTGCTTGAAAACTTGTAGCAGATATCTAATCTTTTCTATCAAAAAGATCTTATTTTCTTCCTTCTTGTAGTCTTTGTATGCACATAGATTTATAATATATTGAGTAGAAAAGTATCTTTTTAAAAATTGCCTTTCACTTCTAGTTACTTTCTTCTCTTTCTCTTTTTATTGCCAAACTTCTTAAGTAATTAGCCTATTCACACACTTGCTTACATCCTCACCACTCTCTCTTATCTTTAATTCCACTCCACATCCAGCCAAAATCTACCTTTGAAACATCTGTGAACCACTTTACTGTTCCAGCCAAACAGCTCTCTGAGTTCTCTACTAACACACTTGGTGCCAGCCTGGCTTTCTCTGATCATGGTTTATTCCCCAGTCAGGCTGTCCTCCCCTCTCCAATCCATCCAATCCATGGTCCCTTTAAGTCTTTCCTCTTCCAGAAAGTGATCCCAAACCACTTCTGCCCAAAGAGCTTTCCCTCCTCTGAACTCACAGCAACGATGACTTTATCACTTATCTGACATCAAATACTGCCTTACTGTTATTTAACTCTTCATGCATCTCCATCTCGTTAACTAGACACGAGATGGCTTGAGAGCAGGGGCAGTTTTAGACTGCTTTGTATATCCTATAGCACTTGGCACAGATGTGTTAGATCTAATTGTTGATATTTTGGCTTAGTGAATGATCAACTATGCCTACCAATTCAGATTAAATAAGGAGATACTAGTTTTCCTCTAAGCATCTAGGAAGAGATATGAGAAGATAATGCGCTGCAAAGCAGAAATGTACAATGCTTATACTTACATCATTGGCTACCCCTGTATGGATGAGATCTCTCAGGAACCTCATGACACTACAGTTGGCATCCCGGTGGTCCAGGGTGGTAGAGGCAATGGCCCACTGTAAGATAGGGATGACCACCTGGCTCCTCAGCAAGGTGACAGGGCTACGCTGAATAAACCTGGTGTGGAAAGAGAGGCCAGGTATAAATGACAGGATTATGGTATAAAAGCAGCCAGGGCAAGGAAGGGACCATATTTTAGACTGTTGGTGTATGAAAAAACATGTCCCCACACTCAATTTCCAACTAAAATTTTATAAATCAAGTAAAATTTTAGTTTCCAGAAAGACTAGTCAAAAGGGCTTATATACACAAACTCTTCTAGGTTAAAAAGCCAAGTCCTAAAAAACCCAGAACAGCATTTCCCAAACTATATCCCACAGAACACTAGTGCCCAGGATGTTAATAGGAATTTCTCAAAGAAAAGGTTCCATGGTCAAGTAAGTTTGGGAATTGCTGGATTTAAAAAAAGCGTTTTTGCATGTTTGTTTTTTCTTTTAAACTACTCTAGGGATTACCTTTCCAAAGAATACGCCCTGGGAAAACAGTGGTTGGAAGTCCACCCAAAAATTCTCTGATAGCAACTTAAAAAAAAAAGTTTTTTCTAACTGTACGAAAACTAACGAAGTATTCAATATTCAATCTTGAGATGACATAGTCAATACTACTTTATATTTTTAAATGACTGATAGTTGGTATTTAAAAAATAATAGTTTTTTTTTTAAACGCTTTTATGCTAACTCATCTGGTTCAAATTCCTTAGCTAGGGACCAAGGGGGAATTCGGCAGAAGTTGGGCAGTCATGTGCCCACTGGGCAGCCAGTACTGGTAAAAGGAATTTAAGGTGGCAGCCTGACGGGTGAAGCTGGAAAGTGCAATACCAGATAACATCTAAGGCACCTTAAAATCCTAAGACTTTTTTATTCTGATATATGATTATATTTAAAGGATGTTAAGTTTTCAAGGAAAAAGTTGAGGTGAAGCATGAACTCACGTAGCATAAAAAGTTAAAACTACAGGGGATGGTAGAGATTATGCAGTCGGGTGTCTTTGCCAAGCACATTTTTACTATCTTGTGCTTGCTCCCTCCTTCATGACAAGAACTCAGCAAATTCTCTCCTTGATCCCACTAAACTCTTCTTCCTCCCTTCTAGGGACAGACTGGTTCACAACTTAACTTTGGGTTGTGAACCATTAATCCACCTACTCCAATTACCACATTTTACAGAGAAGGAAACAGCCAAGCATCAGAGGGCATGACTAAGCAGCGATGGGGACGTACCTGGTGGCTAGCCTAAACAGGTCATCTACGGTGTCTGGGTGATTCTGGAGACCATTCTGCTGTTCTAGGAGTTGAAAGGTGGGGATGCACAGTGCCTAAAGAGGACAGTGTTTTAAAAGAAGTGATTATATATAAAATCCACTTCAGACTTGCTAAGTAAGTATCACAACATGTACAAAGGCAACAAAGAGGGGAAGCATAAGTGGGAAAATAAAAGACTGTGATGAGACTAAGTTCAGGAAAAGAGGAAAATCTTTCTTAGCCGACATAAACATTTTCACATTTGAAGTCCACGTTTCAGAAAGGGTTGAGAGAACACAGATTTTAGTTGGTGAACCGAAGTACATGTCATCTCAAAGTTTCAGAAGTTTCTGAAAGCAGAAACTGTGGTTATATACTAAACATGGATTAGTTCACTAGGGGAGTAGAAATTTTAATTAGAATACTGAAATATCAATTTTAAACTGAAAGACATCTTGGGAAAAACGACCACCATAATTTAACTCCATTTCCCTTCTGTTACCGGGAAGAGAAAAAGCAGTGTATCAGGGTCCTTTCCAATGCCTGCTAATTACCTTAAGATCCTCTCTGCTGCTAAATAAATGAATTCGTTAGCTGCTCCAGGCAAGAAATTCAAACTAGAATCGTGCTTGAGCTTAGAGATCTTTCATTTTCAATCTACTTGCCATCCCCCTCGCCCCCAAACAAAACAACAAACAGAAGCACCCTATCTCTGGAGAGCATAGGTCAGGAGCAACATCTGTAATGATCATTACACTGGTGTGGGCAATTCTCTCAAGCATGCCTGTCCAGAGAGAAACTAGGAAGTTTCAACTTCTTCAAAAAATGGTCTTAACTGTTAATAGGAAATCAGCATGCCTGGGGAAAACATAAAGAGGCAACAGAATTAGAGAAACATGTGAAGAACAGACCACCAGGCCTCCAGACCCTCCAGGCCCAGTGCATCTGTACTCTCCAAGAGAAACACACCTGCAGCATGTCTAGCAGTCCCTGCCGACAGCCCTCTTCCATGCCATACTCATCCACAAGGATACTGCCAAGGTACAGGAAACAGGAGTGCTGATGTACGTGGTACACATTCACCATCTGCCAAGGGGGCACACAAACAATTAGTTCCACTCTCTACCCCTCCAAAGCGACAACTTCAGAAACTGTCTCAAGGAAGAAATGCAGAGACAGATTGGTCGCTTCTCTTCAAGGCAACATAGTAAACCTTGCTGGGAAAATTGTGTGAAACTTAGGGCTCAACTCTTCAATGATTTTGAATCCTTTATTTGGAGTTCTTTCAAACATTTGATCTTTTATTTTCCCAAGGAATGTTGTAAGAAAATTGTATAATACTTCAAGTTGGAAGCTATGATCCAAGGCATGCAAGATTTGCAAAACTCTAGGATAGTAAACTTAAATTTTCTAACACCTGAAGGTTGTTCTTATTTGCACTGTAAATAAATCATATTTCTTAAATAGCATGTAGAGCCAGAGTGTGGACAAAAATATCAAACATCTTCATCTTGGAGAAGAATGTGAAAGCAGGGTTTAAATCATGAGAGTTGCTCCTAACCTCCCTATTTAACCTTTTTAAGTAAAGAAGTGTTTCCAATCAAAACACCTGAATTCCAATAGCAGAAAAATTTTAATAAAACATAACTTACCTGAATTTAAATGATTTTAGGATTTTTACCTCACTATCCTCCAAAAGGGGCTCTGGTGGCACAGCAGTTAAAAGCTTGGCTTAAGAGCTTGGCTGCTAACCAAAAGGTCGGCAGTTCGACTCCACCAGCTGGTCCTTGGAAACCCTATGGGGTAGTTCTACTCTGTCCCACAGGGTCACTATGAGTTGGAATCTACGTGACAGCAACGGGTTTGGGTTTTTTTTTTTTGGTGGGGGGGTTATCCTCCAAAAGGGGAGCCTGGTGGCACACTGGTTAAGCGGCTCAGCTGCTAACCAAAAGGTCAGTGATTCCAACCCACCAGCAACTACACGGGAGAAAGATGTGGCAGTCTGTGTCCACAGAGATTTACAGCCTTGGAAACCTATGAGGCAGTTATACTCTGTGCAATAGGGTTGCTATGAGTCGGAATCGACTCTACAGCAGTGCGTTTGGTTTTTGGTTAACCTCCAAAAGTTCCTGGCTGTGCAAAGGGTTAAGTGCTCTAGTCCAACTACTAGCCCATGGTTTGAACCCACCCAGAGGCACCTGAAAGACAGGCCTGGCAAATCAGCTTCCAAAAGGTCCCAGCCTTCAAAACCCTATGGAGCAGTTCTACTCTGCACACATGAGGTAGTCGTAAGTCAGAACTGACTCGACAGCAACTAACAACAACATCCTCCTTCAAAAATAAGAGACATCTACATAGTCACCTACTTAAAATGCTATCACAACACACATGTATTGATCTTACATCAGTTCTACTCTATGAACTTAGAGGGAGCTAAAGGAAAAAGGAAAAGATGTTTAAACAGATTAACTGACTCTTCTATCAGCATATGCCATGGAATGCGCATGAGATGGGAGATATGAATCTGTTCAGTGCTGTATACACAAATTATATACTCTACTTAATGAATGACTTAAGGTAGGGGGTTAAATTTAGGGCAGGGGATTAAACTAAACTTTTTCTTAAAGGGCTAGATATTAAAAACTTCAGGTTCTGCTGATCATCTGGTCTCTGACTACTCAACTCTGCCAATGCAGCACAAAACTAGCCAAAAGATAATACTTAAATGAATAAACATGGCTATGTCCCAATAAAACTTTATTCACAAAAACAGGTGGCAGGACCACTGGCTGTCATTGGCTGACCCCTGATTTAAGAGATTTTTAAGAATAATTTTGGTATTTGTCACAAGTACTGACTTCAGAATACATCTCTTGTATATTGGGTTGGTCACATATTTAATTATCAGGAATAAAAAACAACGTAAGAGTCCTGAAGGTATCCTCCAACAGCAAAGGCAGTAAATAAAGTTGTATTAAACCTAGAATGTACTGCACTGAGGGGGACACTTAACCAGTGGTGGATATATCTTAAATGCAAATGTATACTGTTGTACTCATGATATGGTGAATGTAGACAATTGCTAATAATTAAAATTCTGTAAAACAATTTACCTAAGTCCCTTATATTCAAACACACAACCTAAGGAGGCAAGGTCGTGCGAGTGCACCGCATGAGGCCGCCTGAGTGCCAGTGCTTCCTTCGGCGTGAGCCACCTAGGTGCCCGGCCCAGGTGAAGGGCGGGTGTGGAATTGTCTTCCCCACAGCATGGGTGCATAATTTAAGACGCTCTCTCAGTATCCTGCAAATGCAGGACTGGCACTTGCAAAACCTTGCCTCCCTAAGTTGCATGCCCTAGACACCTCACTTGCCTCATCCGATCCTGGCCCTGCTTAAGGTTAACATCAACACAAATCGCTAAGTGACCTAAGCACAGGCATCTCATACAGAGTAGCTGTAGGTGTGAATATGATCTTGTAGAGAACCTTATACAGTGAATCACACCACTGTAATTTTGTACCAGTCTTCATGATTCAAAGAGTCAATTTTATTTTTTGACAAATAAGAGACTATGTAAGCAACTATGACCAAGACAGAAAAAAATCCCCCTGGGCCAAGAAACTGCAAAGTTTGACTTGCCATTTTTCAAGGAAATTAAAAATAAGATGCATTGGCATTAGTTACTCTTTTAACATAATTTCACACTGAAATGCCACTGAGTGCCACTATACAGAATACAGACTCTTTCACTTATAGACAATATACCTACTATGTATCATTCTCAAATATTTTGTAATTTGTATTTAATATAAATACAAACATGTTCCAGTTCTTTAGTAGAGTTGTCCCAAAGGCTCCTATTTCAAATTCTGTACATTTACCATTTTCCCTTACCTGTGTGACTAGTGGCTGCAGTAAGGCTGCAGATCCTTTGCCTACACAGCGAACAGCAAAGCGGAGGCATCTGCAACAACGCTCTACAATTCGGTTATCAGCCCGGTGCTTATTTAGCGTCTCGGATAAAACTGGCCATATCTGAGTCAGAGTGAAAGAGCACAAGAAAGAAATTAATGAACAACTAAGAGCTGAAAGAACACTCCCATGATGGTAACATTTGATTTGACTCTTAAGTGATTTGGATAAAGCTTTCTTTATAGGAATACGTGCAGCCTGATTTTGGCCAGGGTGTGTGCGTGCGTGCGTGCATGCATACACACCACCAATCTTTGAAACATACCACTTCTTAAGAGAAACACAGAAGTGACTCTAGAACAGGAAGAAGACCACATCTTAACTTTACTAAAAGATAGATATACACATTTTCCTTAACTTTGGACTTCCTGAATTAGGATGAAAAGAATTAGTATGTGATAGAGGGAGAGATGAGTAAAGTTAGTCCCAGAAGTCAGAAAACCTTGAACAAAAAGGACTGGAGTTAAGGAAAGGGCATCATTTGATCCCGTTGAACACCTGAGAGTATTTGGTATTTATGTCATTTTCTCCCCTGAAGTCTGAAAGGCACATCTCAAAATACACCTCTAGATTCTTATACTTCCTTCAGTGAAAAAAGTATCCATGGGGAAACTGAAGGCATGGAGGGCTAAATGGCTTTGTCTAAAATACGCTGCTAGTTGATCAGGCATCCTATCAATTATACGAGTCACACAGGTTACTTTCTTTCTACCTTTCCCTTGGCTTTTCAGCCTGTTTTCTTATCAAATCTAAAATAACAAATACTTGGATGGTTCTATTCCCTATCTCATTGAAATTATAACCATCTCAACAAACTGAACCTCTCTGTGACCCTGGAACCTTCCCGCTTTAGTTGTCCAAAGCCTGGTAAGGAAAAAAGAAGAGAGCCTGATTCTGCAGGCATCCAGTAACACTTACCTCCTGTATGACTTTTTGGCACGGATGAGTCTGTCCATTTTCCACAATGGGATTGGTGTGTCTGGAAAGATAACAGCCCAAAATAGTGAAAGAAGAGCAATTTCACCAAGGACCCAGAATCCTGATCCCTGTTCACTCGCTTAGTATCATTCTCACCAAATAAAGAAAACCAGATTGTCAAGTCATTCTTAAGACTCAACACCTTTTCTTCCTACTCTACTCAAACACAAGCACAAACTTTCATCCTATCATTTTTCCCAACTTCAAGTTACTCCCACTAGAACATGCAAACCCAATCCAAGTCTGGGCGCATGGGCTATGGGGCACAACTACCGTTTCCATTTTTCTCCCTTTATAAACCTGAATATGCAGTCTATTGATCAGAAATATGTGCCGGTTGCCCCAGACACTCTTTCAGCTCAGTAATGAAGTCATTCCTGAGCTTCACCCTTCAGCCAAACATTAGATAGGCCCATAAACAAAATGAGACTAAATGGGCGCACCAGCCCAGGGGCAAGGACGAGAAGGCAGCTCAGGAAAGCTGGTAATAGGGAACCCAAGGTCAAGAAGGGGAGAGTGTTGACATCTCATGGGGATGGCAACCAATGTCACAAGACAATATGTGTACTAATTGTTTAATGAGAAGCTAGTTTGTTCTGTAAACCTTCACCTAAAGTACGATTAAAAAAAAAAGAACTGCAGGAAAAACAAAAAAAAGAAATATGCACCAGTTGTCTGAATCCACTATGAAAAACCAAGAATTGCTCTGTTCCCACCACTAAGAGAGTAAAAGCTGGGGTTGCAGTTCAGGACAAAAGGAAACAGGGAGCCTAATAAGGAAATGGGGGAGAGGGCAGGCACACTGTGGGGGAATGGAACCAATGTCATGGAACACTTTGTGTACAAACTATTGAATGGGAAACTAATTTGCTATGTACGCTTTCACGTAATGCACAACAAAAAATTAAAAAAAAAAAAGAATAAAAACTTTAGGAACTCTAGTGTACCATAGCTACCTCAAAGTTTTAATCTGAATCCAATGGCAAACAATACTGGCCCACCCACAGTATGTCAAGTCCAATTCCTTTGTTTAGTTCCAGAGTTCACTAATTTGAAGAAAAGCAGAAAAAAAAATTTGCACGATTAAGTACCAACCTCTTTAAAGGAAAGCAACTCTTAATTTTAAAAAGCCGCAAAACAACACAAAAAAACAACTAATTTTCTTCAATTCAGGCATTTCCATCTATTACAGACTTTCATTCATTTATTGTAAAATAAGAGTTATTATTAACAGGTTCTCAGAATGGCATGTAACAGAGCTCTGCTAATTAAATAAGGAAAGCATCTCCCCAACTCACAGAAAGATACCTGTTGACAATAACTAATAAGCAAAAACAATGGCTTCATTTTGACTCGTCCCACATCCCACATAAACTTCTATGCAGCTATTACTCTGACGCTGCAGTTACACCTATGGGGCTCACAAATGACAGATTATATAATTCAGTAAGGATCATCTTTTGAATACTGTCACTCAAATGTCTTTTTCATCATTAGGTGTCTCTTGACTTCAAAGGATTAATTTCATTATTATTTTGCACCCATACACTGTCCAGCACTGGCTCTCAAAGTACGGTCCCTGGAATAGGAAGCAGCAGCAGCAGCAGCACGACCTGGAAACTTGTTAGAAATGCAAATTCTTTGGTCCTACTCAAGATCCAATGAATCACAAAGGGGTGGGACCCAGCAATCTGTGTTTTGATCAGTGCTCCAGGTGATTCAAATGCACATTAAAAAGTCTGAGAACCACTGAACTAGAGACCAAAAAATATCAATTACATTTTTTAAAGGCTCTTTTGACAAAGGTCTACCAGCAACAAACTGTTAGAATTTATCTCTGCCCAAAAACTTGGGTAACAATAGGTTTGATTAGTCTTCTGAAAAGGGAGATTACAGAAGAGACTTGCAAGTTTGAGAAAAAAGTGCTTGCTTATTTCAATATATAATGGTTTCATTTGAGCTTTTAACCCAATGCACTCAGAATCTCTCTTCTTACCTAAATATTACTGCAAGGCGATCTAAGAACACAGTAGGATCTGAGGATATGCCATTGCTGGGCTCCTGAGACAACAGCTGAAGAAGACAAACAGACATCAACACCCAGTCGTCCCATGTACAAACCTACAGCAAACACTGTAACATACACCTTTATACATCAACCTTGTCTCAACCTCTGCTTATTTCCTTATAATAGATTCCTAAAAGCCCCTATTCATCTTGTCAAATTACTTTCTTCCATCTTACTGTATCCTGGCCAAGACTACAAATTACTACATTTTATTATCTGATCATTGAGGAGTGGAAAACAGTATCATTTAATTTTTCCATCTCCTTTTATGATTAAGATTTCTTTCATGTTTAATAGTCATTTGTGTTCCCTCTTCAGTGAATTATCTACTCCTGCCCGATAATATCCATTGTCCATTTTTCTGCTGTAGTCTTGAATGTATTACTCAGTTATTTGTATGAGCTCTTTAAATATTATGAGAATAGTACCTCTATCATATATGTTGCAAATAATCCCTAATTTGAGGTTGCCTTTTCTATTTGTAACATATAAAATTTAAGTACATAATGTTTTATACCATCAATCTGTCATTCTTTTTTTTATTTCTTCCACTGTTTCTATGCTCAGAAAGGTGCTACTCATCCAAGCTGTGGCGTGAGGTAGCCATCTAAATCTATCTTTCCCCACAAACTTTCAAGTTTCCTAAGTATTTACTGGACAGCCATTCCTTCCTCATCGGTTTTTGACAATCTGTCATTTACTTAAAATCACACATACATGTACACTTATGTATTAGATATTACTCCTATATATGAACCTATTTATGAACTGCCTAATCTGTGAAACAAATGCTGTTCATTCTTGGTACCAGTATAACACTTTAAAAATCATTATAGCTTTACAATACATTTTAAGCGATGAAAGGACAACTTGCATCTCATTCTTTTTTGTCTAAAATATCTTAGATGCTTTTTTATTAGTATATCATTGGACATGAACTTAAGAACCATTATGTTAAGTTCTCCTAAAAATGTCACTGGTATGTCTACTGTACTGCCCTACACATGTAATTTAAGACAAGTTGACATCTTCACAAATTTATCAAGGAAATATGGTAGGTTATGGTTGCTAATATGAATCGGATCACTTCCGATTATTATCTTATAACTGGTTATTACTGACATAGTGAAATCCATTGATTTTTTATGCAGTTAATTTGATAGACTTATTAATTTTAGTAACTTTTCACTTGGCTTTTCTAGGTAGATAAACGATCACCTGTAAATAACTGTTTTTTCCTTTCAAACATGTGAACATCTTTCATTTGTTTCACATCCTACTTAACTGGACTCACCTTTTTCAATGCCATAACCTGAACAGAACACAGCTCACTAAGACATTCAGTAATCTTGTCCAAAGGTAATCTGGCTAGGACAAGTGCTGTCCCTGAAAAACAGAGGAAGATACAGAGGGAGAAGGGAGAAGCTGGCTTGAGGTAACATACTGTCTACATCATACGCTTAACAGATTAACTGCCTGGTTCCATTCTTTTAAGACGATCACCACTATTTCAAAACTTACAATATTTTGTTACTTATGACTATTTTTTATCTGGCTCAGAAGACTACAGACTGACTTTCACACTGACACTTACAACTGAAGTTAATATTAAAGTATTTCTCCTCAGCAGCCTATTAGTGTAAAGATATTTAAAGTAAGTCTCCTCTTCTGATTCTTCAAAGGCTTTTAAAAACTCTTCACAAAGCCTATGCTAAAGCTTCCCAAGCTTCCAAGCGATTGACTCAGGGAGTCTAGACAGCCTTTAATTTTGACAGGTACCTTAGGCAACTCTTATCATCCAAGACGTTTGAGAAATATTGATAGAATGCTTTCAGAAAGGATGGGCTGAAGTTAAAGAGATTAAATTCTAGTTGTACTACAACGAGAGGAGCCCTGGTAGTGCAATGGTTAAGAGCTCGACTGCTAATCGAAAGGCTGGCAGTTTGAACCCAGCTGCCCCACAGGAGAAAGACGTGGCAGTCTGCATCTGTAAAGATTTACAGCCTTGGAAACCCTGTGGGGCAGTTCTACTCTGCCCTATAGGGTCACTATGTGTTGGAATCGACTTGACAGCAATGGGTTTGGTTCGGTTTTTTGATACTTTTTTGGAACACTCTGTGAGCTTATGTATTCTCTCAGGGCCTCAGTGTATCCGTGAATTGAGTGGTTTGAACAAAAGAGTAATAGTCAAGTTTGTCTTTCTTTCTTTTTAAAATAGTTGCAAAAGTCTTCCCTCTCTTTTTCTTCCCTCAATTAATAATTTACTTGGCACTCCCACAAAATAGATAAAAAAGAGGCAGCTAGGCCAACGTGGGGCTAGAAGGCCCAGACCCTTTCACTCAGCTTCCCTCTTGTTGCTGTCTCCTCTCCAACCCCACCAACCACTAAAGTGTCTCCTCAAAATCCAAAGGATTACACATTAGCCTTAGGTCCCTTCTAGGAAAAACTCCTTGACAATGACTTTTTTCCACCTCTTAAAGTTTTATTCACTAGAACAGTAATTACTCCTTAAATTTTCAATTTGAATAAAAAGCAAAATGATTTTTCCTGGCAGTATATAAGTCATAGGTGAGTCAGACTTTTATTTAAAACCGAGTAGGAATGATTTTTCCTTTTAATTCATTCCTACAGGAAAAAAAAAAGTTTTTGACACTGTCATGGTTTGAGTTCTGTCCCCCACAAAATATGTGTATCAATTTGGCTGGGCCGTGATTCCCAGAATTGTGTGGCTGGCCTCCATTCTGTGATTGTAATTTATGTTAAAGAGGATTAGGGTGGGATTGTACCACCACCCTTACCCAGGTCACATCCCTGATACAATGTAAAGGGAACTGCCCCAGGGTGTGGCCTGCACCACCTTTTACCTTACAAGGGATAAAAGGAAAGGGAAGCAAGGAGAGAACAGGGGAACCCCATACCACCAAGAAAACAGTGCTGGGAGCAGAGCACATCCTTTTGGACCTGAAGCTCCCAGACCAAGGGAAGGTTGATGACATGGACCTTCCTCCAGAGCAGACAGAAAAAGCTTTCCCCTGGAGCTGATGCCCTGAATTTGGACTTGTAGCCTACCGGACTGTGAGAGAATAAATTTCTCTTTATTAAAGCCATCCACTTGTGGTATTCCTGTTATAGCAGCACTAGATGACTAAGACAGACACCAAGAAGATACCACTGGATAACATGAAGTGTTAGATAGTAATGCAGGATGCCACAGTCTACTGTAGGTTAGATGTCACTTCAGTATTGTTAAATTTCACTAGAAAATGATAAGATGACAGCAATGACCACTAGCAGTAGACAGTTAAGTAGTAAGAGTCTCTGACTCCAATTTAATGCCTTATTATCTATGCCTATAGAGGAAACAACAAAAATCCATGATATAAAAAGAAAATCTATTGCAGAAAACGCATAATCACTCTGGCTGGCAAGGAACTTGGTCATAAAATGAGAAAGAACAGAATTAGTTGACACACATGTTGTCCAATCTTATCAAGGCTAACTGCCACTCACAGATGCTTAGAAGAGATTGTACTGGTCATTTATTACACAGCCCTTTATTTGATACACCAAACCCCCTTAAACTATCAGCTGTAAGGATTCACTACCTCACAGGGCACTCCAATCTGTTTTCGGAAAGTTTAGTTAGAAAGTGTCGTCTTTCACTGAGCCTGTATATGCTTCCCTATTACCTGCGAACAATCGATTACTCACATAGTAAATCTGATCCTTTTTAAAAGATAATCTTTCAAATATTTAAAAATAGCCATCGTGTTTAAGGTCTGTTCAGTCTTTTTTCCTACAGCCTTATTATCTCTGGTTCTTTTATTACTCTGAGCCTCCTCACCCTGAGCCTCAAGAATCTCTGGCAGGCTGCCTCTGGATAGGCAATCTAGTAAGTGGAAGCTAACCAGTACCTGTTAAAGTCTACTAAGAGACTAGCACCCTTGGCTTCTACTATGGTACTGAACCACGCACACTACCTTTAAAAATCTCCACTTACCATTTTGGTATGGCAATGCTAATTTGGTTTTCTTTTTTATTCTTCCCCCAACTTAAAGTGGAACTACCTTTAGTTCAAATGTGCTGTCTCTACACAAAATCTAGGTCTGTGCTATACATAGCGCAAGAAGTGTGAATTAATCACATAGCCTGAAAATCTTCTAAGAAAAGAAGCATGTGCACATAGTCCATGCCCTCCTCTGAGTGGATATACCACCTTCACCATCACTATATACCTTACAACTGAAAAACTGGGCTATAACTGAGGTAATACAATCCCCAAGAAATGGCTCAGAGAAGACTGCTACTGGTTACTATTGTAAGTAAATACCTTTCAGCAAGCCCACAGCAGCTTCTGGAGACAACATGAAGGAATCCAGGGAACGGGCGATCTCCAGGAGTCCATTAAAGTGCTGAGCCATGTGATCTCGGCAGACAGAGCAAATGTTATGAATGGCTTTGGCTGCAGCAGAAGCCAGGGGCTTTTCACACAGGCCTTTCATCAAGTAGCCCAATACAGGGTCTGAGGATAAAAGCCATACAGCAGAGATTATATGCCTGAAACTCAAGGAAAACTTCAGTTTCTAAGAGCAGAGGTTTACACACCATATTTCTTCTTTAAGCAAAAGAACCCTTCTAAAAAATGAAATGATTCAGAACCCCAAGATATAAGAGATAAAAATGGAGCCAATCTCACTGGCACAGTGTCAGGAGGCCCTGAGCCCATGTATTCATCTTCCACTTTTTCCTTTATGGCAGCTGACTACTCCTTGCAACCTTAGGGCTTCACAGAGCAGTCTGAAAACCACTGACTTTCAAGCATATGTGACCATCCCAGGTATTAAGACAAAGGTAATGTAAGAAAGAAGGGAAAGCTCAGAGAGCTATCATTATTCCCAGAGATGAATTACTTGGTCAAAAATAGCCTACGTTAATTAGGACAATGACAGCTGCCTAAAGCTGGTACTTTTGTACTTGCTTCTTTATAGTTACAACAGGTCTTAAAACATACAGATTAATCTTTAGCACTTCTAAACGAATTCAGTCATTATATTTTACTTTTACTAATACAAGAGTTCCAAGAAAGTTGACTACATAGGAGAATTTAAAGAGCAAATTTACTTAACCTTTACTTTATAAAAATCAGAATGTTTTTCCATGCAAAAAAACCTAAGAAAAACTATATATGGTTAAAGAGCATGTTATAAGTACTTTATACTTTACTTTAGAGCAAACCATCAAAGAACTGAGGAATCAAAAGGATCAGAATTTTAAAGCCCGTTTAAAACAGTAATCTCCATTTCTAGAACAACAATCAAATATCCACTCAGCCAAAAACTAAAAAAAAGTCTATACAGCCTAGAAATCAGAAGACCTAGAACCTAGTCCAAACAACTCTAATATTGTAGACTTTTTTGACTGTCAAACTGATTATTTGTGGTTTTGACTACTCTAGTATGAAAGTCTAAGATGCAGCAATTTGTCTTCCTGCTGAGGCACAAATCTGAATGAGATATTGCAAGGTGGTACTGAATGATAAGTCTTACTAAGAGTCTGCATTTCAAACTAGCTTTGCTGCTTATAGGGCATGATCTGAAAAATATTAACTAAAATAAAACAAAAAAACCCATTTTGTTTCTTTGTGAAAATGGTTTAGAAAAGAAAGCCAAATACTGAGGCAGATAACGAAAGTGAAGAAATCCAAGGATTAGAAAATGGACATTTTGAGTAAGTTTTAAGGTTGAACTGAGGAGTGGCTCAGCTATGATGTGAGTGTGTTGATCATGAGCTCTGTATACGGAAACGAAGGAGTACGTATCACTCTTTTCAGTAAGTGTTTCAGTCACTAAAAAAAGAGAAAAAATCAGATACAAAATAAAATCAAGTCCAAACGGTGGTAATAAAAGATATGTGCAGGAAACATATCAAACTTAATGATACAACACCATTCACAAATATAAGTATTATTTAAATTCTCAGAACATATCATTCTTAAATGTCTGGGGCTTGAAATATATTATCCTGGATAAAATATTTAGTTTTGAATGATAATTCTTAAGTTTTTAAATGGAGGATGTATTTAACATTGAGAAACTCTCTCTTGCTTTAACCTACTAGTAGCTTCTAGGCAGGTCTGATTAGCTCAAGAATATGCCAAAGACTAAGAAAGAATGCTCGTGCTTATGCAGAGTTCTAGAAGCAAACTGTGTCCCTGTCTGGAGATCTAATCTGTCACAGGTCCTTCCTCTGAGTTTGAGCAGATTATAAATGTTGTTTCAACTAAGCAATAACTTAAAATATTTAGTCTCCGTGTCCATAAACGTTCTACCTGTCAACAAAGGAGGAAGCGGGAGAGCAAGAGCAAAAGCTAAAGAGGAGAGAGGAAGAAAATCAGAAGTTGCAGCAGCAGAGTGGAGAGTTCACACATACCAAGAAACTGAGGATTTCGATCAACCACTTCGCTCATCTCTCCAACCAACTCAATGCTGGTGTATCGCACAGCTGTATGTACTGTCTCTGGCAGACGAACAACTCCTTCTAGGACCTCCACAAGTGTGGGATTGTTCTCCCTGAATACAGAAGGCAAGTACTCACAGTTACTGATTTCAGAGGTTACGCTCTGGCCAAAAAACAGGCTGCAATGATGTGTATCATCGCAAAAGGGCCTCTTTCTAAATAAATAATCATTTGGGTAAAAGTATAAAAGTGTTTAACACTCGGCATGAAAGGTTTTCAAATCCTCAAAAAGGGAGGAAGACAGAAATGGAAGATAATCTTTGTTTTAGGAGAAGCAGACTATTCCTTAATCTTCTGAATGACAGTAAAGAATCTAAAGCCACATCATGCTATTAAACAGAGGCTCTTCAAATTGGAGAGATAGGCATTTACTGAAAAAAATTTTTTTTAAAGAATCGGTTTTATTTATTCCTATATCTGCAGCACCTAGAACAGTGCCTGGCACATAGTGGGCACTCAATAGCTGAATGGCTAAATGAATAAATAATACTCACAGACCATTTTCTATTAGTTGTTATTCTCCAAAGATTTCATATAGCTAGATACTAGGAACTCTAAGGGCAGCTAAATTTTCCTCACTTAAGGAGCAAGAAAACAAGCAGGAATAAGTGAAGGTGCCCCAATTTGGAATGTGAGGGAAAATGAAAGTTAACCACTTTCCACAGCTCCATGAATTTATTTTTTCCTTTCCTTGTTTTCTCTCCCCAAGTATACTGAATGAAGTTCCTTTCAGCACAGTGGAGGATGTTTCCAAAGTGGTAGAACTTAATCCAGAAATGAAAGAAATTTCAAATGTAATAGTATCTTGGATTAGAACAAGAGCAACCCCTGTTGATAAAATAAGTCTATTAAGTCCTTTATACCAAAAATCAAACCGAACCTACTGCCGTCGAGTCGATTCTGACTCATAGTAACCCTACAGGACAGGGTAGAACTGCCCCATAGGGCTTCCAAGGCTGTAAATCTTTACGGAAGCAGACTGTCACATCTTTCTCCCGTAGAGGAGCTGGTGGGTTTGAACCACTGACCTTTTGGTTAGCAGCCGAATGCTCTACCACTGCACCACCAGGGCTCCAAGTCCTTTATATGAATTTAAAACAACAGCAACCATGCAGTTGGCTTGAAATTGGATAAATTAAAAAAATAAAAAAACAATCTCTCATTTATGCCCTATGTTTCTTAGGGGCACTAGGCTAATTATTGAGACTATCCATTCTTCTTCAAATCACGCGTAACAACTAGAATATTAGTGATTTTAATAATCTTTAGATTTATTTGCAACTGAAGGTTCCAAAGGATACTAAAATGAGTTTAAGAGCAAATAGTATGGTATGAAATTAAGGACCAGAACCTCTTAATAAAGAAAAATAAATCTAGTATATCCCCTTGAATATTTAACTGGATTAGATATATAAGATTTTATTGACTAGGCCTGGAAAAGCTGCTAAGAAAGGAGCACTGTACTTTTTATAAATACCTGCCTGAACCATCTCTCCAACAGGGGCTCAACTGGACATACCTGATCACAATACAAGGTAACTTGTCAGATATTAACTAACGATTTATAAATTCATGACACAAAATAAATTTTGTCTTTAGGGAGTCATGTGAAGATCACGAATAGAATTTCTATGCTAAGCAATCAGAAATCAAGTCCTAATAATTAAAAAAAATTCCCAATGGCAATGTAGAGTTTGTAACCGCCCTTTAGATTTTGCTGCTCTTTTAGGGGAAACAGTGACCATGCCATGCCTCTCTGAAACTCACAAATGATTCTCTCAGACAGAAATACGGAGAACAACCTAATTAAACATTTGTAAGGATAACTTACCCAAGGTTACAAAAGCAGGTGAGACCAAACTAGTTCCTATTTAGTACCAACAATTTAAGAGTCTAACAAATTCTTAACCAAAACAAACTTTCACAAGGGTACCTTGGTTAGAAAAATAAATCAGTATTCTAGTCCTAGTGTCAAGGGTAAAATAATTTTAACTTTAAGAAAAGTGGGTTAAAACACTGATTTCAGCAATGTAGGCTGTCCTGGACTAGACTCTAGAAGTAAGAAGAGTAGACAGCACTATCGAATTAAGAAGCTCTAAGGGTTTCCAAGCATATACCATGTAAGAGAAAACTGGTGTAATTTTCCTTCCTCTCAGTATTTAAAGAGTTTCCAGCAAAAGACTTATTAGACACTCACGGGTCAACACTCTTTGCTATAGCAGCCATGATAAAGAGAACCGCTTCTGTCACCTCCCAGGGTGGGTTGCCTTCTTTCAGAGTGGAATATAACTAGAGAAGAAGAGGTGGATTATGGATCCATTAAAAGGAAAATAGAGCAGAAGTCCAAAAACAAATAAAACAAAAAAACCCTGTTAGTTAAAATAAATCCAATCCCTTGTTTCCAATTCTAACTAAATTATCTCTCAGAGCCAGGGGAGAATATTATTTTCATTCTTGACATCCTCACTAATTAGAAGCAACTACTGATTTAATATCTGAAATAAACTCATTTAGATCCCCAAGAGTGTATCAAGATTATCATCTGCTCCTAGAAAATGAATATTGTGGAAAAAAGAAACGTATCACAAGTGTCTTTTCCTGGTTCTGTTATCACTAATGAATACATAAACACACGAAACATTGATATGCAATGTAAATCCTCCACATATGTACTGGCTTTATGCTACTATTGTTTTAACTATTTGTCCACATCAGCACTGGTAGCAGAGCTTAAATTTCTAAAAAGCAGCTGTTTAGGAACACTTATCACAATACCATATATCCAAGCAAAATTAACAAAAAATAAAAGCAGACCTAGCAGAATACTCAGATATTCTAGTCAAGAATTTCTCGAAGTTTATCCACCTGTGGAATGTAACTAGGTCTTAGTCTAAATAAGATTTCTCCAGTCAAACAATGGACACAGCTAGGTAAAACAAAATTGAACAATTCTTTGTAGAACTTTATAGAGTCTTTAACATACTATTTAAATCATTTCCTAATTTTAATTGCTTCAACTTTTTTTTTTTTTTTTTTTTTGCCAAAGAGCAGCTCATGAGGCTGGTATTCCAAAGGACACATCTTGGACAACACTGATAATTTATATAAATTTGTAAAGTGAGGTCTGGAGAAGATCAAGTGACTTGCTCAAAGCCACAGAGCCAGTGAGAGCGGAGCAGCTTATCTGTCTTGTGACTCAAGGATCTCACTGGATCTGCTCCTAAGAACCCCTGATCCGTTGTAGGTGGGTCAATAAATGCACATTGCTTAACACAATAAAAAAGTTATAATTTTATGAACATTTTGTAGATCAGGCTGTTCCCAAATACACACAAAATTGCTGGGTTACAAGAAGAAAATTAAGTTTGTTCAGTCCTGCTGTGACAAAGCATCCAAACTAGATTTCAGAGCCCATCAGGGCACGATCTAGCAATATGAAAACCACCTGAAATTATGCTAATGTTAAGTGACATGGAATGGGGATGGCTGCACCACAGTTATCTTACAAGAGGTAAAATGTTACCCACTGCTTGTCAGGGAAAGCACAGGACAATGACTCTTCTACTCTAGCACAGTCACCGCGGGGATGAAACTTCAAAGGACTCTAACCACAGTGTGGACAAAGGAAATGCCAAATAACCAAGAGAGTTGCCAGGAATGGGTACATAATTATGAAGGCAGGAAAAGTAGCCTATTTTTCCTGGCCTAGTCCAAATTACCTGTAAGTATCCTGGGAGCTTTAATGCTTATCTATGGATCTTCCACACCAGTTGCAAATGTGGAAAAGTGCTCATTAGCAAGAGTAACTGAGTGACCCATTATTGAACCATTCATAAACTGCAACTGGCTTGTAAGATACTAAACAAACATAGCTACTATATGCCAGGCAGTGTGCTAGGCACCTGCAAATCTATGATCCCACTTAGCCACTGAGATTGAAGAAATAAGATGGGACATTTACAGAAGACACAGAAGTAAACACAATTAGGGTGATCAGTAAGACTGGCAATAATCTCCAAAAAGGCTTACCTGAGCAAAACACTCCATAGACCCAATCAGGAAAATCAAGTCCTTCACCAGGTCTGATACTCTCATCCGAAACTCTCCAAAGTCATCAGTCTCCTCAGGAACCCCCTCCTGAAATTTTAAATAAAATGGCATTTTTTTAAACTCACTGAGGCTTTCACTGGCCTCTATACAATCAAGAATAAAGAAGAAAAAGTCATCAAGCAATCAAGTCCCAATAAACAAAAGATAAGCTGCCTAAGTCATAAAAATATTTTACTACAGACACAGGGTCTCTAAACTGTTAGGTGTGACAAGTCAATACCACCTATCCTCTACCTTTACTATGAAAAACGCTTAACTTTTCTTAAGAGTCATAAGCCTATCTAGATATGGTCCAGCTCATTAGTCCTCATCTAGCCTGTGAAGCTTTACAGCTCAAGATCTACCAAAATCAATCATTATCACAATAACTTCACACAGAACAGAATTTCTGACTTTAAAAAGAATTTCATACAGATGGACAGATACATAATACAACTAGTATAGTAAAATATTAATGGCAGAATTTAGGTGGTGGGTATACATGTGTTCACCATAAAATTGTTTCACCTTTGCTTTATGTTTTAAATTTTTCATTAAAAAGTTTAGAGATCATTTACATTCTATGGCTCTTAAATTTTTCCTATTCTAACACACTGCTATGAGTAAACAAAGGTTTACCAATTGTGATACGGTTGAGAACATGTATAAGAATCTTGGACCACGAATAACTGGAAAAACTCGTTAGTACTATAGAGGATTGCTAATCTAGTTTAACCTTCTTGCTTTAAGATGAAGAAATTAAGGTCGACGAATGTGGAGGAAATAAATAACGGCTGCCTCAGACCAGAAAATGGATAAAATTATAAACACTATACAAATTATTAAGCACTTTACACTTCCGAGTGTAAGAAATTACCTGAAATGGTCCATGGAACTAGTAAGGGCAGAAAGGGACCAAGGAAGTAGAGCCATCTAAACCAGAGCAGTTTTATTTATATAGTAAGCTTCCAAATAAGATTTAACTGAAAATAGGGTTCTTCAGTTAAAAAAAAGTTTGAAAACCACTAGACGAATCATCTTTACAGTTTCTTAAAGATACAAAATACCATGACTCAAACAGTAATATTAAAATTAAGAGAATAAACAGTTTTCATTTCAGATTTAATTGTGAGCAATGCAACAACAACAACAAACAAACAACTTCAGGTCCTAGATTAAAGGATGAGGATTAAACAAAAAATCAAAATGAAATAAATGAGGTCAAAATTTGAAGAGACCAAGCAAAGCATAGAGCCCTGGTGGCACAGTAGTTAAGAGCCTGGCTGCTAACCCAAAGGTCAGCAGTTGAAATCCACCAGCCGCTCCCTGGAAACACTATGGGGCAGTTCTACCCCATATGAGTCAGAATCAACTCAGTGGCAATGGGTTTTATTTGTTTTTTTTTTTTAAGCAAAGCATGGAAGGTGAAAAGTTTTCTAATGGACTATTTTACAACATTTCTAGTATATTTTTTTCTTAGCCAAATAGATTATTTCTATATCTTCCTTTTAATTATAAAATCAATATAAAGAAAAAATATGTGCGTACTGTGGGTTGGGGAACTCATATATAATTTTCAACATCCTTATACAAGTATTTCACTTTTATGTTTTAGTCCAACCACATATTTTGCACTATTAAATACAGTATAAAATTTTACAATCTGATTTTTTTCACTCAGTATACAAACTACCCTTTTTATTTCAGTAATTGTTTTTAACTGCTGCGTAACGGCTCATCAAGTTGCTACGTCAAATTTATGTAACTTGTTATACAGCTATTCATGGGTTTACTATCATTTTTTACTTCTGTAGATGATATTTGTACATAAAATAGCTACCGTTTCTTCTGCAGCATAATTTAAGATAAATCCCCAACAGAAGAACACTGGTTCAGCAAGAGTGATTTTTTTCTACACAGATCTAATGTTAGCTGCTGTTGAGTTGATTCCCATTCATGGCGACCCCACGTGTGCAGAGTAGAACTGCTTCATAGGGTTTTCAAAGCTGTGATCTTTCATAAGCAGATCACCAGGTCTGTGTTCCGAGGTGCCTCTTAGTGGGTTTGAACTGTTAACCTTTCAGCTAGTAGTTGAGCACTTAACTGCTGGTGCCACTCAGGGACTAATACTCTTCATTATGTTTGTACTGATGTCTTCAGTGTAAGCTGTAGTGTGACAGGGAACCTGCAGATTCTATTAGCTTTGTTCTGATGGAAAAGCGGGTAAATTAAGAGGAAAAGAGGAGGAAATTAAGATACTCAGAGATTTGAAGACAAAGAGAAGGGAACTTACATGGTCTGGTTCCAGCTGGCAGTGTCGAGCCAAGGCATGAAGCAGTCTCTGAATGTAAGCTTTGAAGATACCATGAATAACCTCATCGTTAGTTTTGTACAAATGCTCCCCTAGTCGGTACCAAAAGTTAAAGGAAATTTCCACTACCTGTTAAATTAAAAGAGAAGAAGAAAATATGGTTTATTTGAACGGGAAAAGGAATGGAATAAGAAGACAGTTTTATTATTGCTAAGGCCATATAGGAAAGAAAATATACTTTAAAGTAGTATGAGTGGAACTAGGTAAGAAGCCGCCTTTTCTCTAGCAGCACTTGTTAGTCTTCCTGACAAGTAGCTTCCCACTTTAGGCCAAAACTCCATTTAGGATGACTGGCTTGTACATTCCCTATTTAGCCCTGGTATAACTTCTCCAAAAACATATGAGATTCTGAATTTAGAAAAACATACAGAGAAGGAAGTGTCTTTTAAAGTCTTTTTCCCAAATTCTAAAATCATTTCATTCTATGCTTCAAATGAGAACACCTCTTACCATGCAAACAATCTATATAATTCCCGAATATAACTGAATCAGTCTCATAATTATGTCACTTTTACTCACCTGCTTTCTTAAGTGAAGCTCTGGTGGCACAATAGTTAAGATCTCGGCTGCTAACCAAGAGGTTGGCAGTTCGAATCCACCAGCCACTCCTTGGAAATCCTATGGGGTAGTTCTACTCTGTCCTATAGGGTCGCTTTCTTAAGTGGGAGAAAAAGTCTTGGGATTTCATCCACAGACTATCTTGTAGATGGCACTGTCTAAAGGAGTGGTAATTAGGAAAACCCCACAGAGCACAGTTGTACTCTGACATACATGGGGTCACCATGAGTCAGAACTGACTCCATGGCAACCAGTACTGATGGTATAATTATTATGTAGCACTATGATTCCTCCTGAAAATGTTTTGGGTTTCATCAAAATCTAGATATCCTTATGAGATTATGCGAAATAAATAAACATTATCTTTTTGTGTGATAACATAAAAAAGGGTTGAGAATCACAGGACTACTATGCCTTCTCCCTAAGAGTACCGCCCCCAATCCTTTTCCCACCAAGGATCCAAAATAGAGCTATTTAAAACAATGACTCAACTGGGGAGCATTTCTTGCTCACTTCTTATACTGTGGAGAGGAGGTACAACTTGTTAAATAAACGACTTTTGAATGAAGAGGATTCTTAAGTTCTTTCAATCCCTTCCTCATTCCCATCACTCATTTGGAGAAAAATGTGGGGTGTTAAGACGTGTGGAGGTACAGCTACGATTGGGAGTACTTTCAATTTTTTTAAATTCATATAAAGGACTTGGAGCCCTGGTGGTGCAGTGGTAAAGGACTCGACTGCTAACCAAAAGGTCAGCGGTTGGAACCCACCAGCTGCTCCAAGGGAAAAAGATGTGGCAGTCCACTGCGGTAAAGATTTATAGCCTTGGGGAAAGGGCCAAGATGGCGGAGTAGTCAGACACTTCTGGTGGAACCTCTTACAACAAAGACCTCAATAAGCAAGTGAATAGATTATATATGATAACACAGGAGCCCTGAATATCTAAGGCAAAGTTGAGGAACCAGACTGAGTGGCAGGGGGAGGGAGAGATGGTTCAGCAGCAGCGAGGAGGTGCCGGACCTGACCTGGCGAGAGCCTGAGCCCTTCAGGCCTGATCAGCTCGGGGGTGGGCGGTGAGGCAGGCAAGCAGCGGTGCTCGGGAGGCGCGTTTTCTGCAGCAGGAGAGACCCAGCACCAGAGAGTCTACACAGCCACCCAGAACCAGTGAGAAGCAGCCCTCAATCTGGTGAAAGATAAGTACTTGCATGCAGCCTACTGCATGGATCAAAAAACATCTCCCTTAGGCAAAAACCTCTCTCCCATTTACCTCCCCACTCCGCACTAGCTCCCAGACCAGCTTCAGCAACTGCCAGGCCCCTGGGCTGGAAGTAGGATCCGTCACACGCCCTGAGCCATTCTCCCAGCCTTGGAGACTGAACAAATTTAACAAACAGGGAAAAACAAACAAACAAACTGCCAGCTCCCCTAAGCCAGGAACCCAGGATAGGCACAGCTCCTTTGCCTAGGCACAGGCATAAGGGATCCAAGGACTTTGAGTGCATTTCCCCCTGCAGAGACTTGTGTGGGCCCAATTCAACAGCGTAGGCCCTCATTATCGCAGTACAACAAGGTATATACCAGAACTCTAACTTCAACTGATTCAGCTGTGAAGTGGCAGGTTCGTGACATTTGACACTGCTCTGCCCAGTAAGCTGGGTCTTCACCTACCCACATCAGGGGCCTGAGGAATGGTGGCTCCACCTATGCCATCTAGCCACCTGCGATAGGGGCCCAAGAATAAGAGGTGCCCCCAGAGTCCTAACAGCCAACAGCATTAGGTGCTCACAGTCCAGCTGCAAAAGCCACCCACCTACATATTCTAGGGAACAGGGACACACCTTCCTCCGTGGACACTCAGGGGCAGCCGTCAGCCCCCTGCCTTGCTCAGAGTGTGTCCCCCTGCTGCAGCCAGATGCCTGTGCCTGCACCCATCACCCATGCCTGTCTAGGACCGTAAGTGAGAGCCTACACCACACACTTGGTGGCTATCTACCTGGGCACCTGAGCTGAATCCATACAGGAGGAATGGGCAGACTCCTAAGCTCACATACCTAGTAACAGATCTAACCACCTGGTGACAGGACATCAGCACTTCAAAGGTTCCAATAATCAAACTAGCTCATACGAGCAGCCTATTTGGGCATATCAAAACAAAACAAGAAGCTAGGACACAGTAAGCAAACATAAAATAAATAAATATAATAACTTACTGATGTCTCGGAGACAAAAGTCAACGTCAAATCACATAAATAGGCAATCCATGATGGCTTCAGTAAGCTCCCAAAAGAATCTAGAAATTTTCCAGACAAGGAAAATTTCTTGGCATTACCAGAGGCAGAATACAAAAGATTAATATACAGAACTCTTCAAGAAATTAGGAAGGAAATTAAGCAAAACACAGAACACGCAAAGATGAAATTAAAAAGATTGGGGAGGAGCATAATGACAGATTTAACAGGCTGCAAGAATCCACAGAGAGGCAGCAATCAGAAATCCAGAAGATTAACAATAAAATGTCAAGATTAGACAACTCAATAAGCAGAATTGAGGCAATGGAAATGAGAATTAGTGAGATTGAAGATAAGAAAGCACTTGACACCAACTTATTTGAGGAAAAATCAGCTAAAAGGATTTTAAAAAATGAACAAACCCTAAGAATTATGTGGGACTCTATCAAGAGGAACAACCTATGAGTGATTGGAGTACCAGAACAGGGGGGATAACAGAAAACGCAGAGAGAATTGTTGAAGATTTGTTGGCAGAAAACTTCCCTGATATCATGAAAGATGACAAGATATCTATCCAAGATGCTCATTGAACCTTACATAGGGTAGATCTCAAAAGAAAGTCACCAAGACATATTATAATCAAACCTGCCAAAACCAAAGATAAAGAGAGAATTTTAAGAGCGGCTAGGGATAAACAAAAAATCATCTACAAAGAAGAGTCAAGAAGAATAAGCTCGGACTACTCAGCAGAAACCATGCAGGCAAGAAGGCAATGGGATGACCTACATAAAGCCTTGAAGGGAAAAAATTGCCAGCCAAGAATTATACATCCAGCAAAACTGTCTCTCAAATATGATAGTGAAATGAGGGCATTTCCAGATAAGCAGAAGTTTAGAGAATTGGCAAAAAACCAACCAAAATTACAAGAAGTACTAAAGGGAGTCTTCCGGTTAGAAAATCAGTAACATCAGATAACCAATCCAAGACTAGAACACAGGAAAGAGCAAGCAGATATCAAGCCAGGTAGGGAAGTCACAAAAATAAACCTAAGCTAAAACACTGAAAATAGGGAAACAGCTGTCAATATGTAAAAGATGACAACATTAAAACAAAAAAGAGAGACTTAAAAAAAAAAATAGACATAGATTTTTCATATGGAGAGGAAGTCACGGCGATACACAGAAATAAAAGATTGGTATAAACTTAGAGAAACAGGAGTAAATATTGAGGTAACCATGAAGGAAACTAACAATCCTACAAGTCAAAATAAAATACTAGAAAAATATAAAGACTCGGCAAACACAAAATCAACAACAATGAATAAGACAAAAAGAAAATACATAAAGAAAAACGACTCAGCACAGAAAATTAAGTGGAACAAAGAAACTGAACAACACACAAAAAAAAGACATAAAAATGACAGCACTAAACTCATACCTATCAATAATTACGCTGAATGTAAATGGACTAAATGCACCAATAAAAAGACAGAGAGTGGCAGATTGGATTAAAAAACACTATCCATCTATATGCTGCCTACAAGAGACACATTTTAGACTTAAAGACACAAACCAAAACTCAAAGGATGGAAAAAAATAATATATCAAGCAAACAACACTCAAAAAAGAACAGGAGTGGCAATATTAATCTCTGGCAAAATAGACTTTAAAGTAAAATTCTACCACAAAGGATAAGGAAGGACACTATATAATGATTAAAGGGTCAATACACCAGGAGGACATAACTATAATAAATATTTACGCACCAATGACCGGGCTCCAAAACACATAAAACAAATTCTAAAAGCATTGAAAAGAGAGATAGACAGCTCCAAAATACTAGTAAGAGACTTCAACGCACCACTTTCGGTGAAGGACAGAACATGCAGAAAGAAGCTAAACAAGGACGTGGAACATCTAAATGCTACAATCAACCAATCTGATCTCACAGACATATACCGAACACTCCACCCAACAGCCAAGTATACTTTCTTTTCTAATGCACATGGAACATTCTCCAGAATAGATCACATATTAGGCCATAAAGCAAGCCCTAACAAAATCCAAAGCATCGAAATATCACAAAGCATCTTTTCTGACCATAAAGCCATAAAAGTAGAAATCAATACAACAAAAAGCAAGGAAAAAAAATCAAACACATGGAAACTGAACAACACCTTGCTCAAAAACTACTGGGATACAGAAGAAATTAAGGATGGAATAAAAAATAGAATCAAACGAGAATGAAAACACATCCTACCAGAACCTTTGGGACACAGCAAAAACAGTGCTCAGAGGTCAGTTTATAGCAATAAATGCACACGACCAAAAAGAAGAAAAGGTCATAATCAAAACATTAACCCTACAACTGGAACAAGTAGAAAGAGAGCAGCAAAATAAGCCCTTGGGCACCCAAAGAAAGGAAATAATGAGAATTAGAGCAGAATTAAATGAGATAGAGAATAGAAAAACAATTGTAAGAGTTAACAAGACCAAAAGCTGGTTCTCTGAAAAGATCAACAAAACTGATAAACCAACCACTGGCCAAACTGACAAAAGAAAAACAGGAGAGGCAGCAGATAACCC